TCATTTCTATAAGCGGAAATCATTTTAGGAATGGGAGCCATTTTAGGAATGGGAGCCATTTTAGGAATGGGAGCCATTTTAGAATGTAGGACCGTTGGGGCCATTTTGTCTGGTAGAGAACTCTTAGCTTGCACAATGATGACATTGCCTAATGGTACATTCCACAGAATGCTTTCTTGTTGTTAGTAAGGGATGCGTGACTGTATTGTGTCATTACCTAACTCAATCTTCCATGCATTTCTGGGGCAGTCCTTGGCACACAAATACTAATTTCCCTAAATATTGTTTTAGCTTCCTTCACCCTCTTCTGCAAAGCCAGGTTCAGATGCCCTTTCGTTGGTTTTCCCCAGGGTCGCTGGTGAGGTCCATCTTGAAAGGTCTTGCCCCAGGTCTCTGAGCCCTGGGTTTCTTGCCTTTTTTGTATTTCCCATGAGGTTCATGTTAGCACTAGCTCTGGCAGGCAGAGAAGACAAGTGACCTGTGCTTGGTTATCTTAGACTCTCATTTCCTGCCTGGATGGTTCCTGCACCTTTCAAGACTTCTTCCACAGACAGATCTCCAGGAATTTGTAATGCCAAGCTTTCAACTGGAGAATAATTTTTTATGCTCCTATGGAAGAAGGCTAGGTATACATTTCACGGGTATTTCTGTGAAGAATTGGAACATGGGACATGGGCAGAGGACCTGCATGTTCTTCTAAGGCACGTGGTAGCACAGTGTTTTATGGGCAACAAAGGAGATGGTGATGAATATGGGAGAGTGAACTGAATGATAGTGGATGGAAAAGCTGGGGATACTCTTGGCTGCTAGTAACAGACCATCACAGCTCAAAGTCACTTAAACAATAGCAGTTAGTATATCACACAACAGAAAGTTCTGGAATAGATCCTTCAGGGTTGGTTGATCCAGGTCTCAGTGATCTCATCAGAGATCCAGATTCTTTCCATTGCTGTGCTATGCATCCTCAGAATTGGTACATCCTTAGAATGGTGGAAAGGTGTGGAGTGAGTTCCAGGCACAACAATTTTCAGAAAATGAGAAATGGTTGCTTGCTCTCTTAGAGTGCAATCATATCTCACGGGGTGCCCCCCAAACCTTCCTTTCATATTCATTACCCATTACTACTAGGTCAGGGTGCCCACTCCTGAGACAGTCTGCATGGGGAATGGGATTGGTTACCCTATGGGCTCTGTGCATGGCTTTCACCATCCCACGGCATACACTTGTATGTGCCTCCAGCTACTTAGGAGGCCGAGGCAGAAGAATTGTGAGCTTGAGGACAGTCTGGGCAAGACCCTATCTCAAAACTACAGAAAAGGGCTGGAGAGTGGGAGGGAAGGGGGAACTAAAAATGGTTAATATGTATATGAACCAATTCTCCAAGTTGACTATTATCCATCACAAATATATACCAATATGAAGAAATATACTCCAATATGTATACCAATACACAGACATATATACCAATATGAGAAAAAAAAAGCCTGGGGATGTTGCTTAGTGGTAGAGCACTTGCCTAGCATGTGCAGAGCCCTGGCTTCTACCGTCAGTAACATTAAAAAATATGACTGAGATAAACACTTTTAATTTTCCTAACTCAGCATCTAGTGAACAAGAGTTTATTTAATTTTTAATCTACTTAGCACAGGGCCAGATATGTTGTAGGTGCTCAGGAAATATTTGTTAGATGAATGATTTAATTGGGTGGGCAAACTTCTACATAATTAATTATCTCTAATTCAAAGATGAATGAAGAAAATGCTGTAATGAAGATTCTGGCAAGAACTGAGAGAATAGCCAAATGTACCCAGGGCCTTAACACTCATTTCAATAAGGCCTCGCTAAATCACTAAGTTGCTCAGACTGAGCTCAAACTTACAATTTGCCTGCCTCAGTCTCCCAGAGCGCTGGGATCAGAGGCATTTACCACCCCATCCAGCCACTCCTCTTGAGCTTGTCTTGATTTCTGTAGCTGTGCAGGTAATTCTGATTGGTCTTTCAATCACTTTGGCACAAAATCTGAGTTATCATCTTTGTCTCCTCTCTTTACATGGTAAGTTTCACCTACAGCAAATCCTGAAAATTCATAAAAGCTACAGGGTAGAAATATAGGCATTTTATTGGAACTGTTTTTGGATGTTGTGTAGTATATTGTTCTGGTCACATTCGTATGCAAATACAGTTTTAATTTCTTTTATATATATTCATATATACATATAAAACTACGTTTTAAAGCACACTTTTAATGAAATATAACAGCCATATAGAAGTCTAACCCAACACAAATCAATAACTTTTCATGTCATTAAATATCTTTCCATAACATCAACTTTATAGGGCTGTAAGGTACACCATCCCAGAGATGATATAATTAATAACTTAACCCCTGTGGTAGCAGTTCTGGCTTTTTTGAGTCTCTTCACCCCTCAGCAATGTTGCAGAAATAAATTTACTTGCATTTAAGATTTTTGCAACCATTTCCAAGTCTTCCTTACACTAAAACTTTTAGGGAAATTTCTGAGTCAAAAGCCATTTGCATTTTTATCTTTTTTTTTTTTTTTCCACTACCAGGGATCAAACTCAGGGCCTTGCACTTGTAAGGCAGGCATGCCACCACTGAGCTACATCCCTGGCCCTAGCCATATGCATTTTTAGAAAAAAAATTTTAATTTTAGAGGAATTTTAGGATTACCAAAAAATATGAAGATTCCAAGCTGGGCGTGTTGCTCAGTGGTAGAGTGCTTGTTTAGCATGTGCAAGAGACTCTGGGTTCGATCTCCAGCACTACAGAAAAAGATTATTAAGATTCTACAGTTTCCATGTAACCTACATCCAATTCCCCTTATTATCATCTTACATGAGTATAGCATCTTCTCACAATTAACCAATATTAATAAATTATTAACTAAAGCCAATGCTTTATCTAGATCTATTTTTTCCCTAAAAGAGCATTTGCTATTCCAATATTCTATCTAGTATACCACATTCTGTTTAGTTGTCATGTGTCCTTAGGCTCCTCTTGGCTGTGACCAGTTTCTTAGACTTTCCTTGTCTTTTTTCTTTGAGACAGGGTCTCACTACATAGTCCAGGCTGGCCTCGAACCTGTGGCTATCCTCACCGCCACAGCCTCCCAAGTGCTGGGATTACAGACATGCAACATCATGCCCAGAGCCTTTCCTTGTCTTTACCTTCAAAATTTTGAGGAATTCTGGTCAGGCATTCTGTATGATGTCCCTCAGCTGGGGTTTGTTTGTTTTCTTTCTTATAATGATGTCACCAGTTAGCATGGGTCCTAATTTTACTGATAATGGAAACTAAAGTAATACCATGAATTTGCAGGAGAAGGCAATTGATTAAAAATTAAATTAATTAATTAAAAGAGAAAACAAAGGGGAGTTTAGCTTTGGCAAAGTAGAGTAAGAGCAAATGGAAAAGTACTCCAGTTTGAGTAGCTGGAGGGCACATATTGATGGAGAGGATCAGACTGGCCCACTCTTAAAAGAGGAGGCTAACGTTTAAGGGTTAGCTGAAATGGACCAGGTTCCAGAAGAACATTCTGTCAGTATTGGTTTCCATAGATCTGAAGAAATCTTTATGATGTGAGGCAAAACTTGGTTCCCAAAAGATATTTTTGCTTGGGAAAAATCTCAATCTTGCAAGGTTCTGCTGGAATCCAAGGTGACCTTCAATTTAGTGCCATGACTGGAGACTTCTGGGTATAGTTGAATGTTCCTGTAAATCACTTATCTTGGTGTCTCCAGTCTTAAACAGGTATGAGACTATGTAAATTCAAGGCTAATCAACCCTGTTTGGCCACCTTTTAGACATACACTCCCTAAATGATTAGCATGCCTATATTCAGATATAAGATGGTATATATGACTCAAAGTTTTGGTTTTGGGGTGTTTTTTTTTTGTACCAGAGATCGAAATTTGAACTTTATGCTTGGGAGGCAGGCAGCAGCACAACTGAGCTAAATCCCCAGCCCTTTGACTCAAAGTTTTAAGATAACAAAGGCTACCAAAGGAGGAGGTCAAGTTTTGTTCTGATTTTAGTTACCTGATTTTAGTCAGTAGGCCCAACTGGTCATTATTTGTTTATTTTTTAGCAAAAACTACTTTTAAGTCCCTGACACTCTCAGAAGAAAACACAAATCCTGCTTTTCATGAATAACAGGTTAAGGGCCAAGGAGTTAATTTTGTCCTCTGACTCTCTGGTGGTTATTGTGTCAGTTGGATTGGGGTTAGGAGTTTTGGAAGGAAAGTACTATAAAGTGCTGTGCTCTATATATCAAGCTCACACACTGTCAACATGATGCATAGCTGGTAACGTTGTTAACCTTGGTCTCCGGGCTGAGATAGTGCTTGTCAGGTTTCTCCACTGCAAAGTTACTCATTTTTTCCCCCTTTCCATACTGTGCTCATTGGAGAGAAATCACACAAGAAGTTGGGAGTTCCACTTATGGATGGTGTATACACAAATTAGGATTCTTCTGTGGTAAATTTATCTCTTCTTCCCCATTTATTAACTTTATCACTCACTTAATCAGTATAAGATCAGGAGTATTTCTTTTATACTTTGAGCTTTACTCTAATATTACTTTACCTGTTTTATTGCTCAAGGCAAGTATATTTTTAATGCTCTGAGTAACTTAACCCAAAATTGCCCCCTTCCAAAGTTTATGCCAACTCTTATGGGTAAAAATGAAAATCCATTTCTCTTCAACCTAAAAAATCTTCAGGGCCCAACTTTCTGACGCCCACTGGGGAGACAAGGTTAGCCTGAGGGGTCTACTCCAGTTTGACTGCTGAGCCACAAAGATGATTCTTGCTCCCCACTTTGGCGCTTTTGCTTGCCTGCCGCCCAACTACCCAGCTTTCCCTGGCCCCGCCCACTATGGGGCGGAAGCGGGCACGACCGCGGGCGGAAGCTGCTGGGTCCGGGCAGGCCCTCGAGATCTCAATCAGCCCCGCCCACTCTTACCACCGCTCCACCCCTCCGGCCCAGACCGGAAATGAGGTCAGAGAGGGAAACCCTGGCCGGGAGACTGGGCCCCAAGAACGGCGCAAGTTGGAGGTGGCTTCGGCAGCCGGTGAGGGGGAGGCGTGGGTTGAGAGGGTCGGGGTCGGCCAGCGCTAGAGAGCATCCGGGCTCTGGGCTGCTGCTGGGCGGCTAAGGGTGCCTTGGGGCTGTGGCGGCCGGCGGGAGGAGCGAGTGGGCCTTGCTTTCCGGGGCCTGGTGCCCCCATCCCAGGCGATGAGGGTCGGTTCGCCTCCAGGGCGATGGTCCCTTCCTCAGCTCTCTTCTTTCCCTTTTCCCCTGGTGTCAAAATGAGGGATTAGTGTTTCAGGCCTTGGTCGCAATAGCTCTCGGGGACTAGACAGGGAGGTGGCGGGGAGTCCTTCGAAACACGTTATTTTTTTGTGGGTTTTTTTTCCCCCTCACATATGTGGCCATGTTGCGACCCTCGTTCGCAGAGGGAGCCCGCTCGCCATGTCTTGCTTTTTGGCGGTTTCCGTTTTAGAAGGGCATACCCACTGTTCCGGGTGAGCCCAAATTCCAAGTTGCTTTTTGCTACCCTATCTTCCACACTGCCCACCCTGCTGCTGGCTCTCCTTTGCTGTCTACCACGTCCTGTTTTGACCCAGGCAGTCTTACCCCTCTCTGGGCCGGTGCCTGGACCCTGGGGCCTCTTGGGGTGTTCATCTGAAGGAACCTGAGGATGCGGGAGTCCCAGGGCTCTTCTGTTGCCTGTGTTTGAATTGCAGTCTTTGAGGCAGGAAAAGGATTTTGTTCAATTATTCAACTAGAAGTTGTTTGATAATTTCGTTCCACGTTACAGTTCGTGCAGTTCTGCCAGAGTTTTTAAATAATGAAGGAGGGAGGGAGATTTAAACACGTTGTTTCCATTTGTTTATCTATTTTGGCCGTACTCCAGTTACAAGTCTTAAACTACTTTTTACTTAAAGGAGCATGATCTTTTAACGTACGTGGCTTTTGACATTTTGGGGTTTTCTTTGGGTAGTCACTTTGGAACTAGGTTTCTCCGTTACCCCCACAAATATGTCACACAAGCCCAGAAGAGTTTTCCTGCCTTTGAATTCATTGGCGTAGGAACAGTGTGAGAACAGATTCTTGAAAGCCTTTTTCAAATTATAAATTGCGTGACCAGAAATACGGTCTGAATGGTGGGCTACATAGAGTTTTAAGCTCTAATTATGATCTTGAAATACTTTGGGCTTAACAAGGCCTAGGCAGAAAGTGCTAACTTAATATATACTTTATTAGATGTTGCACAGATTACATTTCTTTTTAAAAGGGAATTTAAAAAACTGCTGCTTTTACTCTTATCCTTTGAAAGGGTTGCCTCTGAAGAGTGATAGTTTGATGAGGGAGTACAAAAATAGGAAATTTTGAAAAGCAGCCAGAAACCTTAGTTTTCACCCTATCCCTATTATTTCAGCTTCCATTATATCCTGGTTTTGTGTGTGTGTGTGTGTGTGTGTGTGTGAGAGAGAGAGAGAGAGAGAGAGAGAGAGGGAGTATGATTGTACAGCAGTAAAGTACATAATTAGGATGATCAGGATTGGGGAGAAGAGCCTAAAAGTTGCTAATTATTCAAAATGAAATGATGCATTCCATATGGTTCTATACCTAGGAGCTTCCACATGACAGTTGCACCCACATCACTACAGATACTTGGATCTCTCTCTCTCTCTCTTTTTTGGGTATAGGTATCAAACTCAGGACCTTGCGCTTGGGGGCAGGCGCTGTGCCCCTGAGCTAAATCCCCAGGATTCTTAGATCTCTTAAACTGTAGTGAGTCTTCCTTAAGTGTGTCACTTAGTTCTCTCTCTGTTCCCCTGCCACATGCATCTCAGAGGCAGTCTCAGAGTGCTGAGCAGTCCTTCATCCAGTCTCCATACCATAGTGCTGCTGGATCCCACCCTATACTCTCCCAGCTTTATTGTGGTTTTGAAATTGTGTGTTTTTCTGTTCCTCTCTAATTACACATTTTAGAGTCTTCTGGGGTCTCATTCCTTGTAATTCAGTCAGTTGAGGAGGGAGAGAAGAGATCTGTTTCCAGGTTTGTTTGCTTGTTTTTGCCAGTATCTGAGTTACCTTGTGAGTGGTTGAGTTTTTGTACTTAAGAACATGTTGGTGTCAGGCATTTAACAGGGGCCAAATACCTATTTTTTAGTGGCTTATGGGAGCATGGATGATAAGAACATAGTCTTAAGTATATCAAGTTGCAAGGTGTCTTTATTTTCTGTTGATGGGCATGAGTGCACGATCTATTTTATAGAATTAATTGAAAATAACAGATCCTATTCACGCTCTTTTTTTTTTCTTTCTTTCTTTTTTGAACTTTTTCTTGGCAGATGTGGCCTCATGGATGAGCTGGTACATGACTTAGCCTCAGCCTTAGAGCAGACATCTGAGCAGAATAAGCTTGGTGAGCTGTGGGAAGAGATGGCCCTGAGCCCGCGCCAGCAAAGGCGGCAGCTTCGGAAACGCCGAGGCAGGAAGAGGCGGTCTGACTTTACTCACCTGGCAGAACACACCTGCTGCTACAGCGAGGCCTCTGAGTCCAGTCTGGATGAGGCCATTAAGGACTGTCGAGAGGTTGCCCCAGTCACCAATTTCAGTGACTCTGATGACACAATGGCAGCCAAACGGCACCCAGCTCTGAATGCCATTGTTAAGAGTAAGCAGCATTCTTGGCATGAATCTGACTCCTTTACTGAAAATGCACCTTGTCGACCACTCAGGCGCCGACGGAAGGTGAAGCGAGTGACTTCAGAAGTGGCCGCCAGCCTTCAGCAGAAGCTGAAGGTGTCAGATTGGAGCTATGAGCGAGGCTGCAGGTTCAAGTCCGCCAAGAAGCAGCGTCTGTCTCGCTGGAAGGAGAATACTCCCTGGACCTCATCAGGCCACGGGTTGTGTGAATCAGCAGAAAATAGGACTTTCCTAAGTAAAACGGGAAGGAAAGAAAGAATGGAATGTGAAACAGATGAACAAAAACAGGGCTCTGATGAAAACATGTCAGAATGGTGAGCTCTCCTTTGCTGTCAGAGAATTTCCTAATCAATTTTACTGAAAGTACAAATGTCTCTTCATGAGTTCCCCTTTTTTCCAAACCAGCCACTCTAGTTTTAGCTTTGTAGCCTTCCATTAATTAATCAAAAGTTGATCTCTAGTTTTTAAAGTAGCATTATGATTCTGTTTTCCTCTTCAAGGTTATGAGTAAGAAACAGTTTGAGTCTAAAAATTATTTATCTCAAATGCATAACCAAGAAGTTAAAAACAATTTGCTGCTGTTTATACTACATAGTTCACAAACATATTGTTCTTTAGAACTAGGATCTTAGCAGAATCTGATGTATATTTTATATA